GTTAAACATTAAGTTTTTATGGTACATTCTAGGACTGGCAACTTAATCTTAGGGTAACTATTTGATTACCTATGGTAATTGAATCGAGCGTAAACTTAAAAGACACATAGTTAGACAAGGCCCATTTTATTAGTTATGATGGTTTGACCATACTGCTACGGTGCTACGAATCCTTACCTTACCAAAAGAGACGGTACATAATGATTATTTTCCATATATAAGCCAATGCAGGTATCCCATTCTTTTATAGTATTACAGAGGTTATCCCCGATAGCCAACGCCAAATCCGATATGGTTTCATATGTTAAAGATTTATAAATATTCTCCTCCCAATAACCCACAGCATTATTGTGTTTAAAATTTTCCACGGCATTATTAAAGTGATCAACAAAATAATTCATACTGCACAAAAATAAACAACCCCATGGGAACTTTTAATTTCCACACTTTTACAGTTGGCAATACAATGATTTGTGTTTTGATAATTTGACGTTAATCAGCTGACCAATTCTAAAAATTAAAATAACATTTTGCATCTATATACCCAATTTTGCAGTGACAGACTGTGTGTACCAATTGGAAGTATCCCGCTTGTAGAGACCTTTTCTTTCATCATTATGGGGCGAATATTCCTGGAACATATGGGAGGGACTCGTCTCTTTTCCTGTGCCCGATGCGACACAAACCTGACAAACAGATCCGAGTTAATTAGCACAAGGTTTACAGGTGCAACTGGACGAGCATTCTTATTCAATAAGGTCGTTAATTTAACGTACAGCGAGGTTCAGGATAGAGTTATGCTAACCGGACGACACATGGTATTGTTTACGTTTCTCCAACCTTTAATGTAATCGACTTGCAGGTGAGAGACGTGTCTTGTAAATCGTGTGACTCGAAACTGGGCTGGATGTACGAGTTTGCAACCGAGGATAACCAAAGGTACAAGGAAGGAAGGGTAATTTTAGAACGCGCCTTGGTCACTGAAAGCGATGGAATGGAAGAGAGAACCTTTAATAATCGGAATTAGTTTAGTCTGAACGATTTTGCTGTAATTTCACTGCCATCATACAATGGCAACTTGACAAATGTCCTGCAAAAGCTCATTGTATTAGTATAAGTTATATAATAATTATTATATGTAATTTTTGTATTCGGTATCACTGAAGCTGATAATAAAAGTTTAGGATAATTGGGAGTTTTTACAGAAAGAATGAGTTGTGACAATTTCAAAACAAATCAGAAGTTTGTTTTGGATTCTATAGCAAAATAAAAAAATCCACCAATAAAATTCAATGTCAACAATGTGTAGAGGGGGGCGGGGAACAGCTGACAATCTAACTAAACAGAGCACGGACATCTTGCAATTTGCAGTGCTTTACCGTAAATTAGTGCACGTAGTTTAGACTGACAGAAATGTAATTAGTGACTGATTGCCGAGGTAAAAAATAATTCGGAGGGTTATTTTTATGTGATCACTTTAACAATAGACCATCAGTCGGTGTGAAATTTTTAATCACCGTGACGTCATGTGATTGCGTTTTGTCATGGAGCACTAGATCGCAGGTAAATTTTTTGTTTTTATACTAATTGTAGACTATTTAAAACAAAGTAAGCTGTCAGGGTGAAGTCTAAAGATGCACCCTTTGTTTGATATCGTATTCGTGCACGTGATCGCTTAATTTCATTGAAAAAATAGCGAATTTCCAGTATATGGCGACACGGGGCCCATCGTCCTTGAAGAATAATTTGAATTATATCCTACCTTATGCTTCCGATATACAATTTTTTACTCGGTTAATGTTGTAGTTATTGAGTCTAATTCACCTCCCCTTGTATTCACCTGCGTTTATCTGACAAAATTGTTTAAAACTCTGCCAAGAAAGGAAAGTGTACAAGTGGGACGATTTCGCAATCGTACACAAGTTGAATCAACATTTTTCATATCTTCGTTTTCATATTCCTAAATTTAAAAGTGACATTGAATTGAAGACCAACCTACTTGTTTTGTTTCTATTAAATAAAGCTCTTCGATGATACAACGAGCTTTAATTTCACATTAACCTTCATATCGTATTATACCTACCTTGGGACACCTCGCACTTCGTATAAAATATTTAATATCAACTGCCTGAGCTTGTTTCCATTAAAGCTTGCCAGAATGTTTAAATGTTTATACAAAAGTGTGATTGAGCTCCCCCCCCCCGGTTTTTTATTTTTCAAAAATGATGTATATATGCTCTCCGGGTCTCTTCCCCCTGTTCTTTATGGTGACATCGAATTAGTAATTGGTTGCAGGTGTTCCTCGATAACAAAACAGGGAACTGTTTACAATTGGAAATCTATAAATAGTCTTAACAATAATTTTTTTCGAAGTTAATCCAGTTTCACCGTAATCGCTATCAATCGTTATCGAATATTTTCAATTTCCTTTGTTTTGTCAGTCAGTTTCTGGTATTCGGCAATTTGTGCATATCGAGGTGCATATTTAGGTCCTAAAAAACTATTATGTTTCAGGAAAATTTACCGATAACTTGCCGTCAATATTTTTCGGCATAATAATGAGAGTGAGACAAAACCTCTGCGACTCCATACTTATTATAAGTAATCGATTTATTGAATGATAACGACAGCAAAAGTGAAAAGCTAGCAAAAAACAAACAACCTAATGCTAACGCTAGGTGATTTGATCCCTATATGTGGGCGTGGAATGTATCGCGAATGGTTAGTTAGTGACACAAATTTTCACTTTTGATGCTGTAGTAATGCTCCAAGGTCGTGTCCTTGAAGAATACCTATGGGCGTGCTACCATGCAATTTTTGGGGAGTTTCCCAAAGTCATGAGTACGGTCCAATCTCATAATTTATTGGGATCAGTGATTTTTGCGAGGATTTTTTATACCTTTGGGGTGTATATTGTTAAATTTTAAGTTAGCTGATCACACAAATTCCTACCGCAATGCTAACAAAAAAAATAAATGAGACTCTCACCCCATTATTCGTCACTTCCACAACAAATTCAATGTTTATCAAACCCCACAAAAAATTAAAAACCCTCGTAAAAACCCAATGTCACTTAGGTACCTACCTACTTTTCTAATGCTTATACCTATACGATCGTCACGTTATGCGGACTTTTTTTAAATAACAAGTAAAACAAAAATAGCAATAAACTGCAATAATACCTTTAATTTTATAACGATCAATTTGAATGAAGCAAGACTCTAGGTACCGGTACAACATAAACACTTTTTTAAATTCCCAAAACTACGCGATCTCTACTCACCCCCTTACCCCTTTCATTGTTTCTTAGTGTGTCATTTATGTTAGTTGATTGGTGGAAAAGGTTTGCGTCGAGGGATGGTTATAAATCAAAAAGTAAAATAAGTGTCCTGAGGGAAATCGCGTTGAGTCGTGGGCGAAGTTAAGCGAAACACCTGTAAGTTACCGAAAGATCTTTTCTCGGATCTGTTTTACTGTGTGAGAAGGGAATTCGCGTTGAGCCGTAAGTGAAGTTAAGTCAACCACCTGTAAAGTACTGCAGGGTAGTTTTATAGTCGAGGTGACAATCGACATTCGTTTTTTTTCGGAGAGATTTCGCGCTGATACGTTAACGAAATAAAAATTAAATCCCGGATGAATCAAATTCTTGCGACCAGAGTATTTTTTCGGCAAAATTAAATTCTGATTAGGAATTTCGATTATTAATTATACAGGGTGATTCCTATAGTACCTGCCACCGTTTGGGAGCGTATAGGGGGTGCCTAGGGGAGTATTTTGATATAGGACACTTGGGGTCGGAAATCTAAAATAAGGGCGCCAGAACCAAATTTATCTTCTGGAATTTCACGCCTGTATGTAGGCAACCCAACCGACCGACGTTTCGCGCGGAGCGATGCAGAGCGAGTTAGCGCGAGGAAGCGACATGGGAGGGAAGGAGGGAAAACGACAGTCAAGAGCAATAACGTTTACAAGTGTTCAACGTGGCCACCGTTGTTCTCAATGCACTTCCTACATCTAGCCAACTATTATTATACTATTGCCATAGTGTTTATTCACTTGATACGCGTGGTTGCAGACGGGATTTCGTGGGTTTAAACAAAATTCTGATCAAGTGTCAGCCACACATCGCCGCCTGAGATCGCTCCGTGTGCACCGCCGGCCGGTTGGGTTGCCTACCCACAGGCGCGAAATTCCAGAAGGTAAATTTGGCTCTGGCACCCTTATTTTAGATTTCCGACCCCAAGTGTCCTATATCAAAATACTCCCCTACGCACCACCTACACGCTCCCAAACGGTGGCAGGTACTATAGGAATCACCCTGTATGTTGCCTTGTTCCCAAGCGGTCACCGGTCCAAGTACTGACCCCGTCCGACGTTGCTTAATTGAACGGACGAGAACCGGTGTTTTCAACGTTGTATGGGCATTGGCGGGAAAATTACTGTTCTATGGGACACAATTGTGGAATCTTTTCTTAATAAAAGAGCACATGCGACGCGATTTCGCAATTTTGGGCTTTAGGCACTTTTAAAAGATCGTTAAACACCTTTCGCATACTTGACTGTAGGTGCGTCAAGATCGCATTGAGAAAATGCGTTTGAGTCCTGTAAGATGCAAAAAACAATAGAATCCAAAACAAACCAATTTTCAATTATCTATATACCAATACAATACAATAGTATATTGAAAGACAAGTGTTACAATGCGACCTATTGTAATATGGCTATCTTGTGGCACGAGTGGCGACGCGAAGCGTAGCCACGAGTGTCCGCAAGATAGGAGTATTACAATAAAGCATTGTAACACGCGTTTTTCATACTATTTTTTCTATTTCGGTGCTTTAATTTAATTAAAAAAATCATTATCAGAAACTATAGAGAACATTAGAACTAACATGTTTTATGTTGGGAACACTTTTTATGCCGTTAAGTTTTAGGTTGGCAGCGTAGTAAGACTTGACATTTTGAAGTTCAAACATGGAAGTACCCAACGAAGTACCTACTTGTACTAACTAGTAACTGCCAACTTAAGAAATGAGTTACCAAAAAAAACGACTATAATCACTGTCTTTGTACAACTGTTTTCGGCCTAAAACAGTTGTACAAAATCATCATTGTGACACCGAAATAGAAAAAATTCGTTTTAAGATATAACATGCAGATTACATTGAATTCTGTTTGCTTTGAGCTCGGAAGCTGTTCTGTCAAGAATTTGGCAAATGCTTCATTTTTTTCCCCGCGGGCAGCGAAGTTTGGCGTTTCCTACAGAAGGTAAATATCAAATTTACCCCTTTTAGAAACTTAATAGTTATAAACACCTCCAATGTTAGTAATTGCCTGTTTGCAGGTGTTCGTCGATAACGAAACAAGGAACTTTAATTATTTACAATTGGAAATCTATAAATAGACCAACAATAAATTTTTTCGAAGTATTTCACTATTGCGAATTGCAATAAATAAACACTATCGAATAACGAGTGCCATTCCTTTCTTTTAATGTCCAAGTCATCGTCTTGTATTCGTGTAATTTGTGTATTTTTTTGCGGTAAATAATTTTTTGAGTAAGATTAGATCAAACATTTTGATCTAAGTGGTTAAATTTCAATGTGAATTTAGTGGTAATTTGCTGGTGCCCTGGACTATAGCGTGACGAGCACATGTTTAAGAAAAGAGAACAATATTCTGAATACGGCGCTGTAGGCACGGCGCACTTCACACCGCTTGCTTAAGTTTCCGTGTGTGATAAGCACACAAGTAAACAATTTTGCTATTTCTCTCACTCAGTTTATATTTTTAACTTCCTAGCATGAGCTAGGTTGCTATTGCGATCACCATTTTTTGGGCTTCTCAAAATTTCATCAAATTTCGACGTATTACATCATTTTAAGCATCTTTCAAAAAAGAAAACTTCTTTCCGTCAGTATGTATGTGTTTCATTTGTTTAATCTTCCAAGGCCTACCTAAAAGTGTAGGGTCCTTTTCCAAACAATCTCGACAGATACCGGAAATACATCAAATATGATACAATTTAAGCATTTTTATTAATTAATTAATTAATCTCATTTTCCCAATATTTGAAGTTAGGGACGAGATTTTGAAAAACGGTTTTCACTGGATGTGATTTAGCTACTTTTTCATAAAGAAAAAGTCATATCGTTCTATTTGATTTTTTTAGGATTTTGGGTCATAGTGTCAAAACTAGCCCCCTAACGGAGAAGGATTCAACTGAATTAACTATATTTTGGTTGATTCTCATTACCCAAGGAATGCTTTTTTCAACCATACCAAATTTGTTAAAATCGGTCAAACTGTTAAGAAGTTAAAGCAGGTCTCGAAGCAGGTTATTGCAAAAACAATTGAAAACCATCTTTGTTTTTGAAATAACTGAGTTTTTGTTTCGTGGTGGTCAATTTTAGAACTTGAAAATATTTTCCAGCGATTCTTCAAAACCGATTTACCCAATAATTTTTTTTACCACTAAGTCATACGACGAACGGTTCCTGAGATATGGTCGAGGGCTTATTGGGTCACCCGGTACGTGCGTACGTTGTCAATTTTCCGAGGTA